GCACCCTCTGGGATGGGGTGATGGGGCTGCTTTTCCTGTCTCCCTGGGCCAGGTGCTGGGCGCTGAACGAGAACATGGCTTATTGGTGGATCATCCGCATCCCCATCCTGCTGGCCTCCCTGGTAGGGGGGCACCCACCAGCCCCAAGTCCTTTTTGGAGAGCTCAGCTCCCTTTTGGAGCCCCCTGGAGGGGGGCAGCTCCCAGCAGAGCCCAGAGGGAGGGTTTGGCCTCCAAGTCATGGTGCTTGGGGTTGTTTTTTGTCATGGGGTTGTTGGTTGTTTATTTTTCCTGCAGCAGCTTGGAAGCCCCACAGTGAGGTGGGGAGGAGGCCCCCAGGCTCTGAGGATCTGGGGTGAGGTGGACTGTGCTGAGCCCCAGTTCTCTGGGGTGGTCCTTGCTGCTTCCTAGCCAGGAATTTGGGAGGGTGGGAGGAGCTGAAGAGCAAACCCTGGGGATCTGGCACCATGGGGCTTGTCTCCTGTGGTCCTGAAGGACACCTAGCCAGGGCTGTGAGGGCTGGGGGTGCTGGGCTATGTGTGTCCTCAGCTGTGGCCCCCCATACCCCCCAGATCAACCTGCTGATCTTCATGAGGATCCTCAAGGTGATCCTGGCCAAGCTCCGTGCCAACCAGAAGGGCTACGCAGACTACAAGCTGCGGTGAGCTGGGAGGGAGGGGGCAGCTGGACCTGGCTCCTCCCTAGTCCTGGGGGGGCTCCACCACCTCCTTGTCCACCTCCATGTCCACCTCCATGTCCACCTCCTCGTCCACCTCCACCTCACTCCTCCATCCTGCACATCGTTAAATGACCACCCTGAGATGAACCAAGAGCTCGTCCCTGCCCACCCACATCCTCCAGCCCTTCAGCACTCACTGCCAGAGGGGTCCCCTTCCACTCTTGCAGGCTGGCCAAAGCCACCCTCACCCTCATCCCCCTCTTTGGGATCCACGAGGTTGTCTTCATCTTCGCCACCGACGAGCAAACCACGGGCATCCTGCGCTATGTCAAGGTGTTCTTCACCCTCTTCCTCAACTCCTTCCAGGTGAGGGGAGAGCTGACATGTCCTTGCTCTGCTCTGGTCACACCCCCAGAGCAAGATTTAGGGGGTGCCTCTTCCACCTGGCTCTCCTCATGGTGTCCAAGCCTGAAGTCAGGCTCAGGACCTCAGGAGACATCACCTCTCCCAGCCCTGCTGTTGAGTGTGTGACTCCTGTGCCCTCTGAGGCTGTGGTGGCAGGGGAACCTCAGCCCCAAAAGCACCCAGAAGTGGCCTGGGGAGACTAAACCCATGGCAGCCCCAGGAGAGAGGGTGGTGGTGGTGGCCTCATCCCCTGCTCTCCCTCCAGGGCTTCCTGGTGGCCGTGCTCTACTGCTTTGCCAACAAGGAGGTAAGTACCTGCTGCAGCTTCTCCTGCCCAGCAGCTTTGCCACCCCACCCCTCACCTCACCTGGCCCAGGAAAAGCTCCAGCTCTTCTCCCTCAACGTGGCAGGTGAAATCAGAGATGAAGAAGAAGTGGCAGCTCTGGAAGCTTGACCACCCGGCGCTCTGCTGTGCCCAGTGATGGGCCCCCCAGAGCCAGAGGAGCTGCTGGGGAGCAGGGGCCATGGGGAGCTGGGCTCTGGCAGCACCACCCGAGGTGGCCAGGCTGGGACTGGTGTCTCAGCTGTGCCTGAGGGCACTGGAGCTGCTGGAGGTCACAGCCTGAGCTGCCTGTGCACCTCTGCTGGCACCCACCAGCCGTGGTCGTGGGCACCAATCTGGGCAGCTGCAGGAGGGGACGTGTGTGGCTGCAGAGGGAGCCTGGCCAAACCCATCAGAAGACAAGCAGCAGGGAAGGGGAGACACTGCCCAGCTCTGCCACCCCACTGCCCAGGGGAGCAAACCCCCTCCTGGTGCACCCAGGGCCCTGCCAGCTCTGCCCCCATCCTGGGCATCACCTTCCTGCTCTCCTTGGGCAGGGACCATCTCACCAGCACCCTGAGGGCTCAGACATCCATCCCAGAGAGCTCTCCAGCTCCTCCAGAGGGAGGTGCTGCACCTTCTCACCACTCTCATCACTGCTGCAGAACGTGGCACCAGCCTCTCTCCTCACTGCTCTCCAGGTTTCCTCCTCTGGGAGCTCCTCCTGCAGCAGGTCCCCCCCAGGCCCCCTGGGCAGCAGCAGACCCAGGGCAGCAGCACAGGGGGAAGGGGGTTCCCTGCAGTACTGGAGCACTTTGTTGCATTTAGACATTCAGGGCAGCTCTGCATCTCCTTTGGTGACCTAGGAACATCACACTGGAGAGTGGAGGACATGAGAGCACCACCAGGGGCTGAGCCCAACCTCCCACATCCCAGGCCCAGCTCAACCACCTCCTGCTTTGAGGGAGAGCCACGAAGTCCAGGCCAGGAACCATACTTGGCTTAGGAACTGTTTTGCTGGGGAAAGGCCAGCTGGTTTTGGACCCAGCTGTGCAACACCTGGAGGTCCAGATGTTTGCCAAAGCACCAGCTGCCCACCCCAGCCCAGCAGCCTGGAGAGCCCTGGAAGCCCAGGAGCACCCACAGCTCTACCTTTGCCTGGGAAGCCCCCGTGGCTCTGGGGTTTGAGCAGCCCTGTTGGCTCATGGCTGCACCCACCTGGCTCAGGGCTCCTGCCCTGGGACTGCTCCTGGTGTCCTCCTGCAGGAGCAGCAGCAGATGCCACCCCCCTGGCTCCCCCAGTCTTACCCTCAGCAGGACAGCCAGCCCAGCCTGTCCTTCCCACCACACAATCCTTTAACTTCCAAAAAAAATGCCATACCCAGGAAGGAGAAAGCAGCTTTTGCTCTCCACTTCCAGCAGGTGACCACAGGAGGGTCTCCACCTCCAGCCCCTTGGCCCCCTCACTGCTCCCAGAGCCTCTTGGAGCTGCAGCATCTCAAGGAGGGTCACCTGCAGCACAGCAAGGAAAGAGGCTGCATCAGGCTCAGCCACAGCTGGGTTGGACACTGGAGAGTTCTCCTAGATCCATGTCACCCCGGGGAGACCATTTTACACATTAACTCTCTTTTCAGATGTAAATAAAGGTTTATTTTTCAGCAGCTGCTCTGTCTGCTCCAAGGGAGGGAAACAGCTCTGGGACTGCACATGAGGGTACAAACTGGCACTTGGGCACCCCAGAGCCACTGAGGGGAGAACAAAGAGGCAGCCATGGCCCTCACCCAGAGCAGGCAGATTCTCCTGGACAGGATGGGACTGCTCATCCAGGTTCTCCTCTGCTCTTTGGTGGGGGTGTGTGGGCTTCAGACTCTGCTGCAGGAGCTGCTGGCAAAGCTGGAAGAGGCTACAGTGCCTTGGGAGGAGCTGGGCTCAAGACCAACCAAGCTGGTCTCCCTGATGCCCCCCCAAGGTGCTGCTGTGGGTGAGATGGAGCTGAGGAGGACAAGGAGCAGTTCTCAGCACCACAGACCCTGAGTCATAGCACAAGGGGAGCCAGTTCCAGTCCTCTCATGGCAGCTTCAGAACTGGGTATGAATACAGAAAGCCCTGGCTAGACACTGGGCTCCTGTATGAGTGACTCTGCCCCACTCCCACCAGTCCCAACCCCAATTCAGCTTCACTGGGGTTGGGAGATAACAGAAACTCTAGTTTTGACCAGAAGGAGGTGGATGTTGCCTTGTGGTGGCTGCTGCATGGTGCTCCTGCCTGGCTCTGTCACTCCAACAGCTGCCAGGAGTCTCAGCCCAGAGCTGGGCACAACATCAGAACTTCAGAGAGAGCAAAATGCCAACTCACAACTCAACAAGGCCCAAACTCCTTTCTAAATTCATGCAGAGAACTTTAATGCACCTGGGACCCTTGAGGAGCACAAGCAGCAATGCCCAGGAAGGAAGGAGCTGAGCTCACAGAGGAGCACACACTTTAGGACCTCTGCATGTTCTTCACCTGCAGCTCTAGCAGTGATTGACCCCAGGAACTCCCATCTCACCTACCCAGGTTGTGGCAGAGCCAGGAACGAGGCAGGGCTGGGAAGCTGTGGATAAAGCAGCCCCAGATTCCTGGGAGAAGCTGGGAAGCACTGGGTGTATTCCCAATTGTCCTGAAATAAATCCCTGAGGTTACTCCTGATCCTACAGCCCCAGCTCCCTCCAGAGAAACCCACACACCAGCAACAGGTTGGCAGTTTTTATTATTTCCTCCAAGTCAAACAGTTTTATTCAGACAGCTCCACTCAGGGTAGCACCAGCCTCCCTGCTGCCTGCACAGCCACCCTCTCAGCAGCAAAGGCTGCTTCAAATCCTCCACTGAAGGGATTTGCTCCTCAGGGAAACACTGGCTTCTAAGATCCTGCTCCTGGTGTCCCCCTTGGGCTACCCCAGCCTTGCTTTAAGCCTTGACAGCCCCATTCCTGGGGGGCTCTCCTGTTCCTTCACACCTACACTGCTGCATCTCTTCCCTACCCTTTTCCCAGGCTCCCAAGGACACAGCTCACTGGATGTACCATCATAGCCCCCAAAACCCATGTTCTTCCACCCTAAGACCCAGCAAAACCAGCCCCAAGTCTAGGTCATCTCTCCTTCCAGCCACCAACCTACCCACTTCCAAGAGTTTTGCTGAGCCAGGTTTTTCCTTCTTTCCAGATGCTCCAAGGCCCTTTCAACTTGGGATTTTTTTTGGGGGTTGCTTTTTTTGCCTCTATGAAAACTTCTCCTCTTTTCCAACAGCCATCCTGCCTTAACTCCAAGGATAGGACCTCTGGAGCCAGGCTGGGAGAGTTGGGGTGTTCAGCCTGGAGAAGAGAAGGCTCCAGGGAGACCTTAGAGCACCTTCCAGGGCCTGAAGGGGCTCCAGGAAAGTTGGGGAGGGACTTGGGACAAGGGCAGGGAGGGAGAGGACAAGGGGGATAGATGAAAACTGGAAGAGGGGAGATTGAGGTTGGACAGGAGGAGGAAATTCTTTGGTGTGAGGGTGGTGAGAGCCTGGCCCAGGTTGCCCAGGGAAGCTGTGGCTGCCCCATCCCTGGCAGTGTTGAAAGGCAGGTTGGATGGGGCTTGGAGCAGCCTGGGCTGGTGGGAGGTGTCCCTGCCCATGCAGGGAGGTGGAACCTGATGATCTTCAAGGTACCTTCCAACCCAAACTATTCTATCATTCTATGATTCCAAGGGACACAGCACTGACAATTCTCTACCAGTGCTGTCAGACACTGAAGCTGGGGACAGGGCAGTGCCAACTGCCTGGGCACTCCCACCATTCCTCCAGCAAGAGGGAAGGAAGGACCAAGGCCACAACACTCTTCTCAATACTCTGAGAAGCTTTCAGGGTTGTTGCCTTCAGATAATTGGCTCCCCCTCCTCCAAACTCAATCTCCAGGGTGAAATCTGCAGCCTTGTCCCCCTGTCTGCACTTGTAGCCCCAGATGCCACATGGCCATGTCACTGCTGGAGGTGGAAACCAGTGTGTCATGGCCAGACCAAGAGGTCCATGTAAGCAGAAGGTAGCACCCCCAGCTATAGCCAAGCTCATGAGCTGCCAGCAGGGCAGGGTGACACATCAAACCTGCCTGGGTGTCCCCAGGCTGTGCCCTGGCAGCTGTTCAGTGGGACAGTCACAGCAGATGTCACCCTTACCAACTGCAGCTTTCAAGCCTCAACAGCCCCAGGCAGCTGATCAGAAAGGGTGATGAGCTCAGATCGAGCCAGGATGGGCTTTTGCATTTTGGGATCTGTGATCAAAGGCCAAAAGAAATGTCAGATGTTTCTTCCCCTCCCTAGCAAAGAGAAGAACACTTTTCCAATCAAGGCCCCTCACAGACTTCAGGTCTTGGTTTCTGTTGTTTTTTTTTCCCCTCCTCACCAGGACTCAGCAACACACAGGAAACAATTTTCCATTCATGGAACTATCACCAGAGCCCTTGTAGCTGCTCACCCAGCTCCAAGAGATGGAGCCATCCCTCTGGGGAGGCAGCCTCTTCTCACATCACTCATCTGCCCTTTAAAACACCCACTCCACCAACAAAGAATCCCTCACATTCCCATACACTGAAGCCTGGAAAGCCAAAGTGGCTGAGGAGCAAAGCTTTGCACTGCAGCTACATCTGGGATGGGGTTTCTTTTGTCCCTCTCTCATGTGGGACAGATCTGTCCCTCAGCTCTTGCTCCGACTATGGCACTTGAGGAACAGGAGACTCAGCCTTGAGCTCTTCCTTCTCTCTCATGTCCTTCCAGGGAAGAATCTGCCTGGCAACCACTGTCAGTGTTGGGATCTTGACACTGACAAACCAGACAGAGCCTCTGCCATAAAGAATTG